CAACAAATCAACCATCAATTAATTAATTACTCAGTCACTCACTCAATCAATCCATCAGTCAATCAATCAATCAATCAATCAATCAGAAATAACCTCAGGAACATAAAGCAAATATCTAGTGTTACGTGAATAGTGTAATGATTATTTCAATCGAAACCAAAACAAACATAATAATTATAATAGCCTTGCTCGAACTTATTTACTTTCATTAGCTAAATCTATTTATTATAGAATCTAATTTTGGTAAAGTCACTTCTAATTTTCAATGTTGATGTCATTTAATTAGATTGGTTTTAATGACTGTCATTGATACGATTTACGATAGATTAGCAAATATTGTCGGCGAGCCGCGAGCTACAGTAGCCGACGATACAGATGGAATAAAATCGAAGCAATGATACTTCCGTTTAATTCGTGACAAGTGTATTTGTATTTGATTGCTAGTTAGTTTTTAATGAATGTTGGTGGTACGATAATGAAGGCGATGGATATTAAATTTATATTGAAATTCGATCAGAGCAAATTGTATTGAAACTAGGTTCATGTGCTATAAAATATTATGATATCGATGTATGAAAAGTTGAAATGCCATAGAAATGAAAGCCATGTCAGGAAATAATTATTTTGATGTAAAAATATGAAATAAAGTGAAGACCGTATAATATGGGCTTATAATACCAATGTATTTAGTACCATTATATCGTATTAAGCTACATTTATTCGTTTATATTTGTAGCGATGAAGACAAATACGGATTAATGGTAGTAGGCTATTCCTGTACCGTACTATTTAAGATAGTGGATTAGTATCAGCAATATGATATAACAATAACGACAATAATAATAAATTTAATAATAATAGAGTGGAGTAGTAGTAATAGGGTAAATGATTAGGAGGATGCTGATGAGGAGGAGGACGATGATGATGATGATGAGTGTGATGATTTTGGTGGTGGTGGTGATGATGACAATGACAGTGATTGTCATGGTGATCATTATGATCATGATGAATATCATGATCATGTCAGTAATGATAATGGTGATTGATGAGGATGATAACTTATTAGTATTTATTAATTTCAGTCTTTATTATTCATATACCAAATAGGCCTGCATTATACGCTGGGTGGAGAAGTATAAACGTATCCGAACGGACTCGAATTCACGATTCTTGGTTAATTATAGACAAACAGTACATGCTTCCGCACAATAAATGAGACAAAGCTCATTTTAATGATGGTAGATCTGTGTAGTATTCAAAATTGTCTCCAATGTGACTCGGAACCATAGACCATAGCTTACCTTTCGGTTAATCTACATGTTGAGCTACGGAGATTGTGTGTACTCCCATTTATTTCTTCAAAATGTTGCACTTAAAAAAATTAAATATTTTAAGTGGCTTAAAAGGGTTTTTTTGTTTCTGTTATTAAATAAGAATGTATATTAAGGCTAATTTATCATCAATTTAAAGTGATATAAATTGAGATTAAACTTTTCTCCCGTTTCCACGATATAGCCTCTACTTTGTAAGTAATAAGCAGTTCTTCATCTGTCAAGGGGTGTAAAGGGATTCCCTAAAGCAAAGATTGAAGAAAACTCGTATTAAAATTCTATACTTTCCATCAGCAGAATTACGAATTACAGTTTTGATCTTTTCCCAAATTAGCACAAATAATATAATGAATGAAAAACAATCAGAACTTTAAGATTCCATTCCTACGAACCCAAGGGAAGATGTGTTTGAAAAACCTAATAAAGTTAATTGGACAGCGGTGAGAAGAATTGTGTGGTTTTGCATCTTTATATTGAGTGACTATTTGACTCACACACAAGGCCTATCTTTACAAGCTGTATTCTAAAAGTACAATAATCAGCTAAATACATCAAACCCACCGACTTCTAAAGCCGGAATTTCATTCCCCATGGATCGGTGTTCCGTGCAGTGTTCTCGCATTGCATTACCAAGGGGATGAGCTTCCTTCGTTTTCATACTCAGTGCAGGTCGCTCATTCAAGTAATTACTCAAATATAAACACTTTTTAATCATTCATTGAAAGCTTGTTAAAGCGATACCCGAGAAGAGAAAGTAGTTGCAAAGATTTCTATAATAACGTCATGTCAGGCATTTGCATGAACATGGAGGTATGATTCCATGGCCTGACGTACGGTGCCACAATATTTGGCCTACACCCCTGAAACAAACGCAAAGTCGAGGCTTCGGGTCACTAATATAGAGTCAAATAAAAATGTCAAATACAGAGTTATTATTTTAGTGGTTTCAGAGGTCGAAGCACCTCTGACCTATTAGTTATGACGTTATCGTCTTCATTGTAAACTTTCGGCCAATCCTATTAACGGTTTATTCTTAGTGCTATATATCTTTTTGTGACCAATATATGGCCACCTGAAAATTTACACAGGTAACCATTATAACGAAACTGATAATTTGAACTGCAACTTTATCAGGGTTGGCGCCAGGATTTGCCCGACGGAGTGGGGGGGGGGGAACGAGGTCCCCAAAGAGGGTCAGATTTCCCCGACGAAAGCAAAGTGGGCGTGGTCGAGCTTCGATTAAAAGGTTTTGGAAGCGGTCCCCCCGAAAATTTTGACAATTTTGGGGTTTCAAAGGCTTATTTAATCGATTTTAGAGTCTACTAATAGGCCTATATGTAGAAAATACATAAATTTTTTTCGTCCTGACGAATTGTGCTTTTTCCAAGGATATACCAATAGCGAACTTAATATCTTCATTTACCCGATTCTACCTAATAGAGTGGCAATTCCTTCACAAGACAAACCATTACCATTACAAGATGCTCTACATAAACTGAGTCTCGTTATGAGGTTTAGGGAGAGGAGTTGTTGAGAAAAATTCATGTTACCGTGACAGGAATTGAACCCCTGACCCTGGCATTGGAAGACAAGCATCTTAAACACCAAGCTATTCAACTTCACATCTTAACGTAAGTTTCATTCCATACGGTTGGTTATTATTTAAATACAGTACCGTACTGACATTATGGCCATATTACATAGTACACTTCAATAAATTGCATCAATATATGAGTCAATATTTGAAAACTTACGGTTCTAGATGTTTACAACATTAGCATGTTTACTAAATTGGTTATAATAAACAACCCTATTCCCGTTTCCAACGCCCCTGGCATTTCTAACGTTTTCCGAAAAAAAAGTTAAAACATTTTCATCACAGGAGATATGAAAAGCTCATTACAGTTAATGTAATAAGCCTAATGTAGGATCATAAATTATGTTATGAATTTCGCATAAAAGGCTATCAGCTTTTCCAATTAAGTATTTATCTGTAGAAAGTCCATTAATTTGTTAATTCTTTCGACAAGACTAATTAGGATACCATTCCCAACATATCATCTGGCAATCAACTAGATTCTATTCGTAATTAGCTTAGCGTGTAAAACGTCAATTATTCGAAATGAATACATCACTAAATTGTCAATAGTTAAACGAAATATGGTATGATCAGATGATCATAAGTGACGCCGGCATAACGAGTGAATATTTTCATTAAAAATAGTACATGAAATAAAACAATTACTATGTTTAAATATGACCATAATGTATAATGATTTTAAAATTGTTTATTTACCAATCATAAATGATGTGTATTTGTAGGTCTATTATTATGGCGCACTCGACATGAGTCGACGCCAGACGCCATATCTCGTATACAAGAACAAGTCCTTGTATGCCTATATCAAGAATATGTTTACCGATGATGACGCAGTATTAAACTTGACTGACTATGCATTAATGGGTCTTTATTAAAAAAAAAAATAAAAAAAAAAATCGAGAAGATAGGCCATTGAGGCGCACGTTTTGTTTAGTTGTTTTATTTTTTTGGGGAAAGTACAGTAATGTTGTGTAAACCACTAAGTACGGGAGTATGCGATGATTTGATTTCCAATAGGCCTACGCTGAATAAATTGTATAAGAGCATTGTATAATATTTTTAGGGAACTGAATATCTGTTCATAATTCTGTGTTTAATCCAACAATGAAACACATACGGGATTTGGCAGTTTGGCTTATGTGCCAATACCAAAGTATATTAGGCCTGTACAAAATAGATTGGGATTCAAGACATATCAATTTCGAATAAAATACTGACGAATACGGTTCAGACCGCCGGAGTTTTGACAATTTAGAGCGTATCAGCAGTACAATGCTTGGAAATTAAACGGAGGTAGGCCTATAGGCGGATGAATACGACTAATTATAATTATGAAAAATTACTGTACCATTATTTACAAAAAAAAAAACAACAAAAAAAACGAGCCCCCCCCCCCAAAAAAAACAAAAAAACAACGAATGGTTATATTCTCAGCTTGAAAACAATATATAAATATATAAAATGTACATAGGTTTTATATATAATATATATTGATTTTTTTATTTTTTCGTTCGAATGCTTATAATCTCAACAAATTAAAAATATATTAAATATATAGGCTATATAATATATATATATATATATATTAGTCGTTGAAACAAAAAATTATGACAACAAGGCATGTAGACTGTAGAACACTATATATTTTCGAAAGAAATTTTCGGCCAGTCCTTTGGCCTTCATCAGCTTTACTGAGCTTTTTTCCGTTCTCATGCATTGTGCACTTCTGTGCAATGTACCGTAATTTCTGCGAATATTTGTCGATGGCAATTGTAGCTCTGAATAAAATTGAATTAAATTGAAAAGAATGAATACAACATGCATAACAACTTTAGTGGGAGCAGTTTTTTGAACGTAGGGCAATTGTTGTAAAAACAAAGAACTTCGATGCTTATAATATAACATGCCTTGAAGATTTTCATACTTTTTGCTTTTATGTAGGGCCTAGCATTGGTAGGCTTGCATAAAATGTGTTCTTAATATAAAAAAGCGTAAAAGTGTTTTTAAAAATTAAAAATAACAAATTACACAATCAAACTTTTTGTTGTTTTGTTTGTATATACATAAAGTTTGTTGGCCTTTCCTGGGAATGGATTCTAATTGCTGAGAAGCTTCAACACGAGTACTACTCGAAAGTGTAGTCTGGACAGTCGAGAAAACAAAAGTAAGTACCATCACACTTAATATAAAAAGTGTTTTCAAGCTCTATCGTTCGCAGTAATGATTTCATTAATTAAAAATATCCAATTCCACAATCAGACTTGTTGCTGTGTTTGTGTATACATAAAGTTTGTTGGCCTTTCTTGGGAATGTCTATTGGATTCTAATTGCTGAGAAGCTCCAACATGAGTACTACTCGAAAGTGTAGTGTCTGGACAGTCGAGAAAACAAAAGAAGGTACCACCAGACTTCTTAAAAGTGCTTAAACAAACTACGAATGAGCCGACAAAGTGAACTCGGTTAAGTATATTAAGTATTACATACATGAAGTTAAAAGACCTAAATCTGCCTCATCTAATTACCGCTTTGCCCTTTGTGTCCGTCTTCAAATCCAATATTCAAAGAATGGACATCGAGTACGTCTTTTATGCTAGTGTGTTTTTCTAATATACACGGTATCCGAAATCAATTCGCTTTTGATCCGCAATCATAAAAAGGGGATAGATAAAGGTATGCATGAGAAGTTTGATGTTCCGTACTAAGCCACGCTCCAATTGGTTAATCAAGTTAAAATAATTTCGATCCTTTTCTGAAGTCCTTTTCAATTTGGACAGTGTCCTTAAGGTTTTAACTTCGCACGCAAATTACAATCAATATGAGGTTTACTGTCCTTCGATGGTTTGTTTCGTCTTTCTGTTCTAAAAACTAACTCATTAGAACCCAGCCTTAGATCTGACAGCAACCGACTATTCAATAAATATCTTAATTAACGGTCAGAATACAGGTTCTACTACAGACTTCATGTTTCAATTACGGACTTATCGGCGGATTCATCGGCAGTGTGTTAAAATCGCTTTGAAGAATCACCTTATGACTGCTATCAATTACATAAATCGATATTAATTGTTTGTGTGATTGTGCTTCTTGATTGTACTAAGAAGTCATCTAGAAGATAAGAGTTTGACATGAGCGACCTGTGTCAACTCTTCTTAGTATATTTATTTCTAACAAAATACTGCCCACTTGAAAACCCAAATTAATAATTTATTAATAATTAATACAAATTGACTTCCTGATGTTAATTAGTTGTTTAAATATTGAAATGGAATTTATAAAGTTCTGGTGCAGTAGTATTAGGCCATATCATGAAAATCACAAACCAAATTTTGATTGCACATCAAAAGTAGGCGTTAACTAACAATAGACTACAAACATTGTCTTATATATTATATCGATTTGTAAATACTTCAAATATTCTATTGGTATTATTAGTGGTACTCCACATATCGTCGTTCACTTCATTTAGCACAAGATAAAAGAGTATAATAATAATCATAATCATAATCATAATCATAATAATAATAATAACAATAATAACAATAATAATAATAATAACATTTGTTATGCGCCAATTTCAAAATATGATCAAAGGCGCGAAAATAAGAGGATGAATTGAATAAAGTAATAGAGTAATAATTATTATATAAACACTTTCAACCAAGGGGGAAAAACAAAGAACTCGACAATGTACGCTTAGTATACATCATTGTTTTAAAATTTCAGTTCTATCAGTGGGGTATGGTCGTTTATTGCCAATCACATAGCAGAAAGCTCAGTAAGTTTATATTTTGAAAAAACAATATTGAAAAGGATGAATGTGGGCGACTAATTTTATGGAATTTACATTTGCAAAACATTTCTTTAACTAATCTACTTGTTTGAAGGGTTAGACAGAGTCTTGTATTAAGATTGACAAAAGACCGCCAAAAGACGAATTATAACCGAGTATGGAATCATTTATTGTTTCATAATTAAATTAGATTAAACATCAAGGTTTTCTTTTTTAATTCAGTTGCATTGGACGGAGAGTTAATGCTGCACGTTTCTGATTAATTACACACCGTTTTGTTTACCACTATAACAATTGAAAGAACAGAAAAAAACCTTAAACAGTTTGCCGTTTTATGGATGAAATGAGTGCGGGATTGGATTAGCTTCATAAACAATGTAACGTGATTGGTTAATTGGAAAATTGAATTTTATTGTTTAATGCTAAACATGTCATGGGTAGTATAACTATTGCTGAATTTCACAAACAACACTTGTACAATTTTCCAGGAAAAACGGACGGATCTTCGACTCCGACAATGCCGCCAATAGAGAGATCTTCAATCTGTATCGGCATGGGATTCTGTCACGTTCGATGAGATTGCGTTGGATCACATTACCTCCGGGCACGTACTACGGCCGTACGACCGTCGGTCGACGAATCCATCTCGGTCCTTGAGAGCGCTTGACGACGCCGTTTGCTGATTGTCGGGGGCAATCTGAGCGAATCGTCATTAAAAACGACTTGTTACGCGCGCCTCGCCGTTGCGTTCCCTATGAATGTGCCCGGCTTTAAGCCAGCTCACTCTACTCGGCAGAGGGTCGGCCAATGTTTATCGCTCGCGTGACAACGAATCTGAGCAAAGCGTTGTTGAAAACGATTCCTCGCCCATCTCATCATATTGCGGTGTCAATGGAATCGTGAATCGTCGAGGGTGGCGCAATGCACCCGGTCTTAATAACAGTATACACTGAACTTTTCCGCAGCACAGTTGTGTGTGTGTTGGTTAGACATGATTGGGTTATTGCCATTGTGACCCGCTCTGGAACGACGGAGAATCATTATGTATAATGATACATGTATCGGGCATATGTTAACATATACCCGATTCACAAAAGAAGAAATCCTTTCATATTGTTCCCAAAAAGACGGTGGTCGGCCGACGCAATTCTATGGAAAACGAACAGCACGACGCGCTCGCAACGGATCGTCGTTAAAACGGTGTCTAATGACAATCAACGGACGGCCTCGCGTCGTCTAACGCTCACGGGGAGCGGTTAGATTCGTCGCACGACGGTCGTACGATGCAATGAATGCTCGGCTTTACGTAGGTTTCGGTTAGCATTATACGTAATATTTGTATACGTTTGTATACTACAGGTTCACTATAGGCTTAAAATTAGGTTAGATATAACAAGTTTATTGTTTAAAACTTATTCAATATAGACATTATTATTATTGTTGTTTTTCATGAATATAAGAAGGTATTACACTACTATTATTGAGGTCAAAACCTAACGAAAGCGTAATGGATGTATGGCCGCCAAATGCAAATTCAATGATTCGTTAATTGGTCAATAGATCGCTCTTAATTCCACCAAATCGCGCCATCATTGTCCTGTAATTAAACGAAAAATTACAAAGTTTAGATGATTAGAAGTATTTCTTTTTCGTCAAATCACAATCAGTATTTCAGCGGCAAGGTCTTGTTGACCTGAGTGCCGAGTATTATGTAATATCCTGTATGAATCTTCGGAACAGTAGCAGTACTTACGGTCTCCACATTTCAATAGGCTTTAACAATTGCAATGATTAATATATCCATGATATAACTATCCGTTTCTTTCCGGCTAATTTATCGCTCGCATATGAATTAGCTCTCACTAGGTATGTATAATGCATGTATTCGCGGTTCAGGTGTACTTTGGCATAGTAGGCCTAAATGTAGTAGTAAGCTATCACGCGTCGGAAAGCGCTTATTGCGCACAGTGATTACGAATTACGCATAAATTAAAATGTGTTATAGGCTTTTTCATACAAAACAATGGGAATAGAAGGGTAATAGCTATTGCATATCAAAAATAATGAATGTACGTATAGGCATACACGTAGAATGAATACTATCTTATTTATCTCGCAGCTTTAGTCAGTAATAAAAATATCTTCAATTTGTGACATCGTAAAGCGCACGTTTTATTTTAACGCGTTACGAACGCAATTTGCACAAAAGGCCTATAGTTTAAAAATCCTTAAATTTTTACTGCTTGTCTAATAATAAATGATTTATGGGAAAATGGGGGTTACAAAATGCGAAATGATATTTTTAAAAGAAAATGAAAAAGTTGCCTTGGAACTTAATACTGAATCTTGTTCATTTTAATTCTATAATTTATTACTAAGTTTTTACGTCACTAACAACCCTCCCCACTTCATAGTTGAACAGTACCGTAACGCTTTTGTGTGTTGTAGAAAAACAACATTATTCTCAAGACTTGTTTTACAGTAGTACCTGATTTATCCTATCTATTTATACTTTCTATACAATTGTTAATCCCAGTGTTTCGGTACCTTTGAGTTATATATTAAGATGTAACAAGAGTACAATAGACATGGGGGAGAAGAAAGGGCTCGATCGGCTACTTGTGGGTTGAATCGAGCATGAACATGGCTTCGTATTAACGAGATTACCTACTTAGCGAATTAACAAAACCAATTTTAGTATTCTTCACGACTGGTCGGTAATTAGGTTGGGCGCTTTGCCATCCGAGTTTCAAGAGAACCTATTAAAACAAATCGAATTTTTAGAACAGAAATAAAAGAAGAGGCATAAATCGATGTTAATTTAAGTCGTAACTCTTGGCCTCGATTCTGGAAAAGTTCCTCAAGTGGCTGTCTATTAATAATACTTGTGAAAGTATTATTAACCATACAAAGAACACAAGAGTTTAACATCTTTCTCCCGATTTCTATCAATTGAGTTTGCGTCAGTTATTTACATAACTATTTTCTCAACACATTACCCTGGGAAATAATAGCAGACACTACAAATGTTATATTTTCTCCTTATGAGCTTAAATCTTTTCGCTACTGCATAAATTAATACAAATGTATGGGAGGCCGAAATGTCCACTGAATTATCTCAGATAAGATAGTATAATACATACTCCAAGTGTCGAAATGCACGCCATCGTGTATGGGAGGCTTAACATAAAAATGAACTTCCAGTGACGTGAATTACGTATGTAAAAAGTTAATATGGAAATATTTTATAGCCTATGTATAAAAATTATATACATATATATATATATATATATATATATGGTATATATACATAAATATAAATATATATATATATATATATACATACACCCGTGGCCTACGGGATGTGGTACATGGACCCCGGCGATACCATCATCTACCGAATGACAAGTCAAAGGATAAAAATGGATTAAAGTAATTCTTCACAGAATTGGAAGCTCTGTGTAATTTCATCACAATCCTGATGCATTTAATTTTTTGCATCAGACCTGGCGTGTGGGAATGGGGGGGGGGGGGGGGGGGGGCTAAGATACTCGAAACAATAGAATTGACTGATACAAGTTAGTGGAATATACGGAATAAAAATGGTCGTATTTAAATTAGGCCTATCTAGGCCTAATGTCACTACGCTGATACAATTACGAGTGTAAAGAATTCACATTGAAAGTAGTATTTATTCGTTATTTAATATTATTACATTTAAATTAATATTTTATGGATGATTACATTGATTGCTGTACTCTCGGCACCCATATTAAAAGTTCATTTTTCAGGTTTCTTTTTTAGCTAAACTTTATGAAACTATAAATTAGTTTTCTAGTTTTCTCAGCTACAGTACTGCTTTACCTCCAAAATTAGTTTAGGGACCTTTTTTGTTCTTAAGTATTCGATTAGGATCCACTGGCTATACATGTAGCGGTCCTTTGGTGGGATTAATTTCTATTGTGCTGGCTGAAGACTCTCAACATTTGATAGATTGTTCATGTTGTTCGTCAGCACAATATCTTCCTTAATGATATAGACATTGAATACTTCAAAGCGAATGCCGACGTGGAATTAAACTGGGTGAGCAATTTGACAAATTCCACCGAACTGTTCTCGTGAATGATCGAACTGGTGGGCTACGTAACAAACAAAGTCTTAACTCAATATCTCAATCTATCCTTAAATATTCAATTAAATTACCTACCTGTGCTTGTAGGCACTATGTACGCTACTTTTTAGATACGAATTGCATTAATTAGATGTATATTTTATGTTATCTACTCTGGATAATGTACGGGTAAATACGAAAGATGAAGTCTAATAGGCTTACTAACATTTTTCGGGGTTTACCACGTTACCACTGTTGTATAAAGCATACAAAACATAAATTTATTCGCCATGTTTTAAGTGAATTTCTGCTTTTTCATTGTTACTTACATTTTCTTTTAGGCCACGACCGCATCGTCAAAATATTAGACTACCTGCATTCACTTAATTAAGAGAAGAAATGATTTGCAATTGGTGTCTGTGACCTACGGTATGTACTTTAGTACAGTGCGGTAGTAACTCATGTACGTTTTTATATCAACATGTTTTGAAAATATATAGGACTGTTATTTTTTTTAATTTGGTGTTCAAGTCATTAGCATCATTTAGTCATCCTTTAGGCCTATCAATATAATCTATTGGTATTAATTGGTTATCATTATTAATTAGGTGGAAAAAATGATACAGAAAGCCAACATAAAATAATATAGAAAATTAAAGAATTCATGTTGAATAACTTCGATTGCATTTGCAATCCACGTCTGAGGCGGATGTAGGATTTAGCGGTAGGGAGTGCGTGAGATTCGATCTCATCCCTACCATGGTAGGGGGTACGTGAGATTCAATCTCATCCCTACCATGGTAGGGGGTGCGTGAGAGTCGATCTCATCCCTACCATGGTAGGGGGTGCGTGAGATTCAATCTCATCCCTACCATGGTAGGGAGTGCGTGAGATTCAATCTCATCCCTACCATGGTAGGGGGTGCGTGAGATTCAATCTCATCCCTACCATGGTAGGGGGTGCGTGAGATTCAATCTCATCCCGACCATGGTAGGGGGTGCGTGAGATTCGATCTCATCCCTACCATGGTAGGGGGTGCGTGAGATTCAATCTCACCCCTACCATGGTAGGGGGTGCGTGAGATTCGATCTCATCCCTACCATGGTAGGGTGTGCGTGAGATTTGATCTCATCCCTACCATGGTTTGGGCTGAAGTGAGAACATTTTGAAAATATGGACCTCTTGGTGCTGGAAATTGCACTCTCATATTTTAAAAATCTTACCGGTGCTACGTTCATAATGATAAAATAATAACGAACAATACAATACAACAATTATTTTTCTTAATACAATTTAGCGAGAGAGTGCAATTTCTCTCTGCATTCACCCCAGCACGAAATTTGCTCAAATAACAAATTTTTCATGTCAAATTAATTGATGTTACATTATAGGCCTATTTTTTGGTGTAACACGCTGAGGGTAACCCACTATTAAAGTAGGCCTACAAAGACCTGTTTTAATACAGAATAGTTCCTCTGATGGTTAATTGGACTTTATACCTGGAGACAGTTCTCTACTCTTGCCAGAAGAGTGTACAGCATTCTTTAACATGCTCTTAGATGGAACACATTTCTGACAGGACCAATAGGTTAAACACATCTCACCTGAAAGACGGGTCACAAGTGTAACTTGTATTTTAGTCCTCCAGCCTTCATGAGAGCAGCAATTACAATTGAACCAGGAACTGGATATCAGAAAGATCTTTGTGTTTTGGTGCACACACAGTGGTTAACACAGTTTAGCCAATTGAACCTATACTACAGCTGTCTCTTATACACATCTAGATGTGTATAAGAGACAGTATATATTCTTCATTGTCAAACTCATATAATGCAAATTTGGAAATTGACTTAACTTTCAACGAAAACATGGGAAACGGCCATACAATAAAACAATACAATGATTAAAATCCCATTATAAAATTAAATCTATAAAATATAAGTATGTAAATTTCGCTCTATAACGTTAAAATTTAATGACAAAAATATCATAATGTAATGTTAAAATGTAATAATAATAATAATTTAATGTTATAATCCATAAAATATAATTATGTAAATTCCGCTCTAAAATGATAAAATTTTGAAAATGTAATTGACAAAAATTTCATAATTGTATGTCTAAATGTAAACTTAGTTTGCAAGTTACTTCCATTAATTTGCAATTGTTTACGTTTGAATAGAAAAATGGGAATTCTCAAACACTCTGAGAACTTCACTCCTCTTCCCAAAACCACACAAAATAATTACAAAAATGTCCTATATTTTATATCCTGGACAAAAACCAGTGATTAGTTCCATGAGCTGCATAATGAGCTACTCATTCGGTCATCAATATTTTGTATTTATTTCATGGTTCTTGTTATCGGTTTCGTCATTTTTAATTGGTAATATCCATTTACTTCCAATTATGATTGTATCGTCCTGGTGAATTTCCCCGGCAAACGATAAACTGAATACTGATATTAGTTTACAATGCTGATTATCTCCCAGGCTTAGCTAAATGCCTTCTGATTGGCGGTAATAAACTTAACAACTCGCACAAAAATGATTAAGATGAATAATAACGAATTGTGCGATAAAGAAACCAATCTGGGGTCGAACAATAGAAGTGTATTTTGTAAAAAAATTAATGCTATTTTTAAAGTCATAAATTGTGAATTTGCATCTCATATTATATAGTACGATTGCACCATGTTAATAAGTATAGTCATTAGTGCAGTACAATAGACTATCAAAGTATACAATACAAATGAATATAGTATTGTAAATTTCTAAAATGGTAAGACGTCTACTAAACAAAGATAGTTCTCTAATTTCTAATTAGTAATCGACTCTAGTACTAATAAAAAATAGCTACTATTATCAACATCATTAGGAGCAGATGTAGACCGAACAAAAATGAATGCCATTTAAAATAGTATTGAGAGAGATTAGACGTTTAACCATGCCACAACATAGATCGATTAATTAAATTCAACTACTTAACCTATCGAAACAATATTCGCATTAAATTAGCATGAAGTAATTAACCAATAAGTCTTCGACTGCTGGTGTCTTTGCTGCTTAAAACAGTTGTGGCTACCTTGGATCTATCTCTAGGCCTACATTTCATTCCATTAAATAATTGAGCTCTATTATTACAATACTTGCCTGTAGGCCTACGTTACTGAAAGCTCAATGCTAAAACACTCTTCTTTTTCTATTGGCTTTTCCAGCGAAAGAGAAGGTGTTTTTGGGTTTTCCCGCAACAACGGAGACTCAATTAATTTAGTTCTGGTTTTTTGCTACTACAGTACTTCTTCTGGTCAATTTTCATGCTTGGATCGTCTTCAAACTTGGTGCAAGCAAAGACCATAATAACAAAGATATGTTTAATAAATATGACGTCATTTTACATATTTTTTATATTAATGAACTGGTATATTAAACTTTATGTTAACGCAGTTTGTGTTTTTCAAACTATAGTTACAGCTAGGTTCCACGCATAATTACCGAGGAATGCATAAACATCTTCCCCCTCAACCTATAAAATTTACGCAAGGTATATCTGAAAATCCACTGGCCTTCACAGGGTCGGGTTCTATAGCGCAATGGACCTTCACTGCACACTCTGCAGTACAAAATTATGAATATAATTAAGTACATTATATATTTACTATGTATCTAAATTTAAACAAACATCATTTATGTCACCATGCGCACACCGAGGCCATATCATTTATCTATAGTATCAAATTAACTCGCTTTCAAAGTAGGTGTAACTTCGAGAAATTATTTTAACAATGTTTTTGTCCAGATTCTCGAAGTTGTGAAATCTCGAGATCTCATTTATTTTATTATCACGAGTCAATTGCAGGGCATTAAGACACGAAACTCGCTATAATCACTATTAGAGAACACTTCTCAGTATCAAGTGGTGTCTTAATTACAAGGAGAGTCTTCGTATAGCATAGAGATGAGATTGGCCTACAAGACAATGGCCGGTTCTTTCACAATGTGTAGTGAGTATTTTCACTAAAGAATATTGAAATATCTGGCATATGAAACAAGTTTACTTTGCTTGATACCTTTTTTGCGTGAAACTGGTTTTCTGTTACTTTTTTTCTCCGTTCATTTTCAAGCCTTGGTGGCAAAAACGCCATGAGCACTGGATGCTGGACACCGGCGCTACAGAAGTCTATATTTAATAATCGAATTACTGTACCTGCTTATATTTATTCTTTATTCTGTTTTCATTGTATATGGCCCTGCAGCACTGTAATTTTTATACGGCAAACTGACACATTAAAATTAGTTACGAAAAATAAACAATTAGTATGACAATGACGACTGATGATGATATCAATAATAATATTCAGATTCAGAATCAGATTTGTTCAGATAATAGGCTAATACCAATGATAAGATAACTAATAATATTGTGATTAATTAATATGTTTTTGTTTTGATGTACTTTATAAAAAAGTGTCTTAAAAGACACTCGTACAAGATAAGAATGTTATAGGCTTAATTATATTGATTGTTACAAAGGCAATTGCATAGAGACCTGTCTCTTATACACATCTAGATGTGTATAAGAGACAGAATGAATCCTGCTTGCAGGACCCACTCTTTCAGGTAACATGGTAACGTACAATGAATTACTAAATTCTAAGTACTGTTATGACAAAACAAATCAAGTTATGATGATTTGTGCTTCAATTTGTGCAGGAAAAGAACTACCCAAATGTTGAACTAGCAGCAGAGAGCCTACGCTCATTAGCTACTCAAAAAAGTGCAAAGTCTGCATTTCTACCATGTAAAGAGACTCTGTGGAAACGTGCACTACAGGCTTGGCATGAACAGGGCTTGTGTGGTGCTCTAGAGGTGGTTGCTGAAGATGACAGTTATACAAGTAAGTTGAGTGAACATACACTAGATCAGATTTCATTGCTTGCCACAAATGTGGAACCTCAGCCAATGCCTAGGTATGCTTTATCCGGTTATATAGACAGTGTTGTTATTTTGTTATCATGCTGGCAATAATGGTAATGGAAATATAGTCGTCACCACACAATTAGTTGATAATGCAGTTAATTCTAGCGATTTATTCTCTTTCACATCAATTTTAACCTTCATCCCTTAGGGAGGTGATACAATCAGCTACTTATGTAAAACAATTAGTCAACTTTCAGCCTCAATAGTCACTTACTAAAATTGTAGTATAATTTCCCGCCAACTGAGATACATATCTCGAATCAGAGGGTAGAATAACGCCGATGATAAATCGATACCGCGTATGATTGATTTCTCACTGGAATTGTAGTCGATTCGGTTGTGTAAAAGCCGCTTAAGAATTTGGCCATTAAAACGTATCGTTTTAATTGGCCTAATGCGTGTTAATACAAAATGATGAGGTGGAGCGAATTGTCGGGAAATGGCGGTCCTAC